CCCCAAATAAATTTTTACTCCTCTAAAATTGTTCTTGTCAGGTCTTTTAGTCACAGCAACAGAAAAAAAAATGAATAAAATAGTATTCTTATTGCAGCTACATGCCATGCCAGGTAGGGCCAGCCATGCTGTTTGGCGGTACTGAGTTTCTCCAAATCTATGTGCCACATCCAGGGACTGAGCTTCAAAGCCAATTAATGAGTGAGTTGATGGTGTCCATATCATGGAGCTATTTTTTGAATAGTGTTTCTGATAGCGATGGTCATTAATTGACTAAGTTATATTTGTATGTTTAAATGGTCATCATAATTATAGTGACTCATAGAGAAGACCATGTGACAGCAGAATTGATTTAAAAATTAAAATAGTGTTGATTATCTGGGCCAGGTGATGAGAGTTAACATCCTTAGCCATGTATTATGGATATTGCGCACCCTGCATGTGATGAAATGGAGAAAGGCACCTCTTTTTCCAAAAGCACAGTCCAGTCATGAGAAAAACATCAGACAGACACAAACTGAGGGGCATTATACAAAGTGTATGCCTTCTCAAGACTGTCAAGTTCATGAAACACAAAGCTAAAAACCTCACCGCAGCTCTAAGGAGACTGGGAGATAGAAGAGCTGTGTCTGACAGGGATCCTGGAACAGAAAAAATACATTAATGAACAAACGGCATAAAGAATAAACACAGAGCTGGGCACAGTGGTGCACACCTGTAATCCCAGAGGCTTCGGAGGCTGAAGCCTGAGGATCAGGAGTTCAAAACCAGCCTCAGCAAAGGTGAGATGCTAAGCAACTCAGGGAGACCCTGTCTCTAAATAAAATACAAAAAAAAAAGGCTGGGGGTGTGGCTCAGTGGTCTAGTGCCCTGACTTCAATCCCCGGYACCACCCTTCCCTCAAAAAGAAAAGAACACACACAATCTGGGGATTAGTTAGTAGTAATGTGTAAATGTCAGTCTCTTAGCTTTAACTAACAAGCCACGGTGACATAATATATGACAGCATTAGTGCAAACTGAAATAGATTGAAGGGTGTAAGGGGACTCTCTGCACTCCCTTAGAAGTTTTCTGTAAATCTAAAACTTTTCTTTCCAAAAGTTTACTTTAAAAATAAATCCGATATGACTTTCCTATGTTCATGTATGAATACATGACCAGGGACACTCCACTCATGTACAATCACAAGAATGGGAAGTTACACTCYATGAATGTACGATATGTCAAAATACATTCTACTGTCATGTGTAACTAAAAAGAACAAATGAAAAAAGTTTAAAAATAGTATTTTCTGATTCAAATGTTTGGTATAGCATAAATGAGCTTAGAAATCTTCACTCTGTTCTCACAACTGAAGAGCAGAAGAAGTGGGAATGAGCTCTTCTGTAGATACTAAGTGAACTGAAGTCACAGAACTGGAGAGAGAGGAAGATACAGAGAACCACACCCCACAGGTGCAGAAACCCCCAAGCATTCACCTCTGTGGGAATCACCGTGGGGGGCTCAGTAATATGGAACAAGTCTGAGAGTTAAAAACTTCCGGGGAACCCAGCTATGGGGGTGTGTGGGAGGCACTTCTGTTTGTTCTACCKGCAGGAGTTCAGCCAGGTTCTTGGAGTAAATATCAGAGGAATTTTCCCTCACGATTGCAGCTGGGAAAGAAGAAAAGGAACAATTTTGAAAAATGCTGAGCACTGTGTTCTGCTGAACAAGGCCTACCCTCAAGCTAGTCAGCCAGAGCCCAAACTATTGAGGATCAGCAGAGCAGAACTTACCTGTGATAAGGGAAATACTCAACTCCAATCTCTTACAGCATTTTATCCCACCTAAGAATCACCTGTGAAGGTCACAGGCCGGGGGTACAAGCTTACCAAAAGACTGAGATGATTTGTAGGACTACAGGATGCCTTCATATCTCCCATAATTCAACACCAAATCACCCAAGGCTTATTTACTGGGTTTCCTTTTACCCAGTCCATTATGTTTAYTTTTCAACAACAACAAAAATAAAAATTACAAGGCCAACTCAAAGGCAAAACACAGTTTGGAAAGCCTGAACAAGTATGAGATCCAGAGATAAGGCAGGAATGTGAGAATCATCAGGCAAGAAATTTTTAAAAATCTATGATTAATACACTGTAGACTCTAATGGAAAAGTAAGGCAATATGGAAAAAACAGAAGGATAATACAAGCAGGAAGATAGAAATTTTAGGGRAAAACAAACAAACAAACAAACAAAAAAAGAAATGGCATAGATCAAAAACACAATAATACAGAACATGTCTTTGTCATGATTCGGTTTTGATTACTGTATGTTGTGGAATGCTTTGAAGTCACTTAGTGTGACTCCTCTCCGTTTGTTCTTTTTGCTCAAGATGTCTCAGCTCCTCAGCATCTCTTGGGTTCCCATGAGTTTTAAGAATTTTTTTTCTGATTCTGTGAAGAATGTCATTGGTGCGTGGATGGGGATTATACTGAATTTTTAAATCACTTTGAGTATTATGGACATTTCAGCAAAGTGAATTATTATGCTTCACAAATATTGGTGAACTTTTCTTTTTGTGTGTGTATCCTCTCAAATTTTTTTCATCAGAGGAATTTTTGTTTGTTTAAGTTTCATTAAATTTCATTAAATTAAATTAAGTTTCATTAAATTTCATTCTTTGCTTCCTTGGTTAAATTTTTTCTCATGTTTGTGTGTGGGGTCCAGGTGTGTATTTGTAGCTATGGAAAATCAGACTGCTTTCATGAATTTCTTTCTCAGCACTATTTTGGTTATTGTATAAAATGGTACTGAGTTTTACATGTTGATTTTTTTTATCCTAAATATTTATGGGTTTATGTATCAGTTCTAATAGTATTTTGATGGAATAAGTTGCTTTTTTTAATATACTGAATCATCTGCAAACAGTAATTTGATTTCTCTGTCCTTATTTGTATGCCATTTATTCCTTTCTCTGACCTAATTTTTCTGGATAAAGCTCCCAGTAGAATGTTGAAGAAAAGTGGTGACAGTCGACATCCTTGTCTTGTTCTGGATCTTAGAGGAAGCACTTTTGGCTTTTCCTCATTCAGTACGATTTTGGCTGCAGATTCATTATACATGCTCTTTATTATGTTGAGGTACGTATATTCTTTCTATACTTAATTTGCTCAGAGTTCTTAACATAGGATAATATTTAATTTTATTAGGTGTCTTCTCTACGTATTTTGAGACAATCATGTGGGTTTTCTTCGTCCTTAATGCTGTTGAGACGGTGCATCACATTTATGCACAGACCAACAGGACATACTAGAATGTCCAGAAACAAAGCCATGCATTTCTAGGCAGCTGATTCTGAACAAAGGTGCCAAAAACATACATTGGAG